TAGACTTTTATAAGTAGCAATATATCAACGTGAAGAAAAAAATAATGTTCATTTAGAGTCGCGGAAAAGCGCTTTTTCATATTCAGCCGACTTGATAACCCCGACGATTTTCTAGTTCTGGTGAGGGATAGTGTCAAAGTTGAGGAAAAATTTTCATGGAAAAGTAATTTTGGTTTCAAAATTTTTCTTTACTTTTGACACTATCCCTCACCAGAACTAGAAAATCGTCGGGGTTATCAAGTCAACTGAATATGAAAAGGCACGTTTCCGCGACTCTAAATGACTTTTATTTTTTTGCCGATGATATGACCGATTCAAATGAGAACAAAATATAGAGTACCATATATTCTAATATATATGTGACATATTTATTTTTCGATAGAGTTTAAATTAAAACGTTTCTTTAGCTGCCGGTGTTCTTAAATGTATATGCCTAAAAAACTCGTTTCTCAGAGAAATGCGTCATAAAAAATGATATCTTAAAGATGAGTATTATTTTTATTTTTTTTTTAAGAGCGCAAATGTGCCTTCAGCTGTCTATTTTCATTACAAAGTATCAGCCTCACAAATCAAAGTTACTACAGTTTTATATTATTTTTATTTTTCAAATGCTTTTGCACTATCTGAATACAGAATCAAACTGTCTTTCATACACATGGTAGTATCGTTAATAGAAGAAAATTCTTCTCTATTAAATCGTCGTATCAAAGTAGTACAACAAAGTAGTAGAATAACGTCAAATAGTAATGATCTTACTAGATGTCATAGTTTTAAGATTATTGTGCGCACATGATGATCATTTTCGATTTGTAAACGACTTATAGTAAACAATCATCTTATATTTTACGTTTATTAAACTGAATGAATAAATATTGTTTTGATATGAGGACCATAGACTTGACGAGAGCATTTAGAACGAGTAGGAGAAAAAAAAATAGTCTATAGATAAAGTACACTTTCAAAAGTTGTTTTTCCATAACTTATTCGTCACATTTCATTTGTGAATATAGATAAAAATCCCCTCAAGAGAATATAACACATAGCACATGAAGACATTTTGATTGCATACCATTTAATAAAAGTTATCGTTAAAACGCCATATTCTAATATTAATATACAAGTGCATGTTAATTCGATATATAAAAATCTTTGTGTATAAAAAGTGATATCTAGTTTGATTGAACACAATACAAAAAATAAAAATCAGTTTACCTTCTCGTTTTCATGGACTGTGTAAGCATTCTTCGTAATTTTGACGTCATGGTTCGTTTTGCTTTTAGTTGATCAGTATCAAAAAAAACAGACTAATAATTAGATAAAATGTATATTTTTCTAATTAATTCAATCAGGAAAAGAATACATGCATGTGTCATCAGTTTTTACAACAATTTCATTTCCGGTGTTTTCATTAAAATATAACTATTTTAGAAAAATATGTCATTTTATTGACTCTAGTAATAATGATGATAAAAAATGAAGACAAGAGAGAAAGAGTCAAACTAGTACAAGAAAAAAAAAGAAAAAAAGATGAGTTCTTAGTATTTCATACCGTATTCTGGTGAAACGAGCATTGAAAAAAAGAAAAGAAACAAAGGAACTGTAACACTATCTTTAGTCACCATCATTACATATGAAAATAGTCTTCAACGAACTGCCTTTCTTTTTTTCATGTGACATTCATGTACCATTATGTTGAAAAACAAAGATCATAAAAATCATCATCAATGATGATTAACCTCTTCAGCAACTTTTCTTTCTCTCTTTTCAGAGATGTGAATATAGAAGAAGAAGAAAAAATTCTGTTAGGATTATTATTATTACTTCGATTCATTGTTTGAATGAGGAGGAAAATACATTCTAATCTTAGCATCACTATTTAATGTTATTTTCTTTTCTTTTGCAGAAGAAATAAAGAAAAAAACTCTGTTTTTCTCACCATCAAGTGAATACCATTTCAAAAAAAACAAACATATGCACGCATCATTTCACAATGTTAAATAAACTTATCCAATTGAAACGAAAATAAATGATGAAATTTTAATATCAAATATGTAATATTCTTATTTACATTAAGATCTAACACGTAAAAATTATTCAGGATTATTTGAACAATTACAGCCTGACTTCGGTCATCATTTATTTGCATGTAACCTATGTTTATGTAATTATGCCACTGAGGTATTGAGACACAGTCTTTGACATGCTTCTTCCGAGTGAATAGTCTTTAGTTATCGAAATGCACATTTTAGTAGTATCTAATTCGAAGCAAATTTCACTACATACCTCTTCTGAGGGTTTACTCTGCATTCGTTCGTCGCTAGATAACAATCAAATTTGATTTCATACTTATTCTATGAGATTTTGTTATAGACTCGACAGACTTATTTAAATAATCCGTTTGTGACAAATAACGTTTATCTTCGATTTACTTAATGTTAAATTAAATAAATCGTCGTATTTGCCAGTAATTAATGAACGCAGGTAGATATCGGGATATAGTGCATCTAGCTAAGGATTACACCTGATTCCTCGACTCACGTTGCTTGTCTCGAAGTCAGTCGCTAAATGTTCAGATTCCTACGCGTCGGAAAACTGATTCAGAGGATCTCGAAAAAACAGCAGAAGTCTAAAACTTTTCTGAAGCACTGGAGATTCTCAGGTGACGGATATCATGCTCAATCTTATTTTACACCAAAGCCAACTGAAAAATCGATAAAAACCTGCAAGGTTGCCTGAAGACCTCCTGTAAGTCTTGTCTAGGGACCATCAAATTCTTCATGTGAAATTGTTCTTAGACCATAAGTTTTAGCTAGCTAGACCGTTTCTCTCTATAGTTACTCTATTTTTGAATTCCTCCTATGGACAGACATAGAAACATTCTATGTAAAACGTCAAGGAAATATGAAAATTAAAAATTTGATTTCTTTTCCCATTTCTTTTTCTTTTGTGTCATAAAATTAGTGACATGTTATTTGAATTTTTTTATATTATGTGCTGTTATTTCAAAAGAATTGAGCGATAAACAGAACGGCAAAGAAATATATTCTCCAAAACTGTACAAATTGCCTCACTCAACATCAACACACACCACTCAACATGATTCATTAAAACTTAGTCAGGAAGAATTAGAAGCAGAAGTTAAACATAAAATAGTAGCGGCATAAAATAGTGTTTATTTAAGTTCAAACTTATTACTGGTAAGTCTACATATCGTACAAAATCACAGTAAAACGTATACATCGTTTAAACTAGTAGATATGAATTCATAATGACACGCTTCCAGTTGAACTCAGAATAAACACACTATTGACTTGGTAGCCTAGTTACTCTACCCCTAAACTTATCGGAACACGATTTGATGGTTTCTTTGTTTATGAATACAATTTTTTCCTCATGAAATTAGAAATAACCGTTCTATATAGCAATGTAAGATTTCGGTTTTCCACACAACTCGGTGACTACGTTGTTTGTCACGTACTTCAAGAGGTGCTGTGTCAGAACTTTTACAACGGCAACCTAGTAGCTTTACTCAGTCAATTATGCCATCTAGGATTATTTGCCTGACAATTCAATCACTGCATTGTGAATCACAATGTAGTGATTGAATTGTCAGACGAATAATCACAAATAGAAACTGTATTGTACATCACAATTTGTGATGTACAATACGGTTTCTCTATATGACTTTCCAGAACAAACTAGTGTGTCTTTAGTAAGTGGGTGTGGGCAAGTAGTGAGCGAATGAGTGAAAAGAATACTACGTCCATTTAGCCTTTTTCAGAGCTTCTTCTTCCATCTCGTTCGGGACTACATAAAGTTTCATGCATTTTAGAGTGTCTGATCCTGTAACGCAGTGTTCTATACTCAAAAACAATAAAACGCTTTGATTTCTGCGCCCTTAATTTAATTACCCCCCCCCCCTCCCCCAATCCACACCCTACATCGGTAAAGATAGCCGAAATTCAAGATGTTCTTTCCTCTCCTTTCGACGACGATTTCTTACGCTACTTAAGTACTTTATCGTTCTTATGACTCTCTCTCTCTCTTTCTCTCTCTATAATATATATATATTAAAGAGAAATAGATATTTATATATATATATACTCCTATATATCGTAGTCATACTTGAGGTATAGGTACACCAGATCACTATTCGCACTACTTTGGCATGAGAAATAGAAAATTTTGAGAATTGAAATTGAAGCTATGATTAATTATCGTACACGTATCTCTCCGAGGTTTTAAATGAATAAATTTTATCAGTAATGATCTAACTTATCAACCTGTTTATTTCTACAAGATGATTATAGTAGATTAGTAGAGAATTAGTTCTTAAGACTATTTTAGCCAGGAATATTTTATCACTTCTATTCTGGCTCATATTTTTGCATGTATTTCAACAAATATTTTAGTCTATACTCCGCGATTATATTAGAGTGCAAACGGGCAATGAAGAAGAGAAACTGGCTAATACAATCGATTTTAATCGTCAATCCAGAGTGCTCTCTGCTAAATGAGATAAGAATTGACATGTAGAAACAATTGAAACTGAATTTTTTAGTTTGTATTCTACCAGATGTCAATCAAAAACTTCACAAATAAATTACTGTAACGAGAAAAGTATAAGAGAATACACAAAGAAGTACATTGACTTGACATATTGAAGTTTGCAGAAGTTGGACCTGTTATATTCTGCAACATAACAACATCACATTAGGTCCATGTTTGTTATACTTATTATAGTTGCTAGTGATGAAATTATTTAAACTCTCTTTCCTCATTCTTGTTTTCTTTTCCAATAATCATTTTTAGATTCAATATTCGCAACTCTATCTTAATATCCAAGCGATTTCTGTTAATGTTGAGATTTTCGTATTATTATAGATATTATTTAAAGACCCACTCAAGTGAAATAAAGTTTGTAAGACTTAATGTTTTAAAATTCTCTCTTATACGATGATGCAAAATGTTTCAAATAAAATAGACAAACAATATCCAACTTACCTTTGTTGCTGTCGTTTTTGACTAGGTGTTGTTTTTAATCGTCTTTTAACAGCAAATGCACCCGGCGTGAGATGTTGAATTATGATTGCTTTATTACGAGTTACATTTGATGTACCATTCACCGTTAGTAGAGGTGAGGTGCATGAAGACGGAGATTTTGATGTTGATCCCAGTACAGAGTTAGCTGCTGGTACAGATACCATTGTCGGATGTAAAAAATTGCTATTATTCCGCGATGTTAGAAATATGTCGGGCAACGCTGTGGTCGATGTCGATGTCGATGTCGATGTAGAAGTACGAGATCCACGACAGTATTTCGCTAGAGATGGAGAGCAATTGCCTAATGGCGAACGATTCAGAACATCTAATGGTGGCCGCGGTACATCGCGAGGCGTACACAATTCTTTTATCGTTGAGTGAGGTGAAAGTAATAGATGATTACGAATAATGTTATCCTCATCCGACATTAACGATGCTTGAGCAATTGAAAATGTATGACGTGACATTAGAGGTGTAGATATACGGGTTATGCTTGAAGGTGACATACTAGAACCAGAATTCGTAGATGATGTGCGTTCTTCACGAAGATTCATCTGAAAAAATAAATGCACTGCTTTGAAACATTAAATAATGTCATTTTGTCATTTTCTCATGGCCAAATCTTCTAATTTTTGTCAGAAAAATTCGGCTTTTTTGATCTTTTTCTATCTCGTTTCTGCTCATTTTCGTTCTAAGACCTTCCGATTTTCTGATTCTGAACCATTTTTCTGAGTTTTTTCTGACCTAGATTTTTAATTTTCTCATTTCCATGCTTTGGATCTAATATTCCTGCTTAAGTGTCTTTGACTATAACTTTTCTGTGATATTTTGTCATGTACTAACTATTTCTAAATACGTACTTTTGTTGCTAACAATCTATTTTTAGTCTTCAATAATAACTTACCTAGTATATGGTTCATTATGTGTGCCTTTTTCACCTGATTTTGTTTTGTTTGGATCTCATTATATATCATTGATAGAAGAATGATAGAACATAAGAGTTTTGGAAATGTTATAGTAGTAATTGATGAAAGAGGAATGACACTGTGATTGTCGAAAAGTTGTACTTATTAAAATTGCTACTCATAAAATTATTTAAACTCGCTTTGTTCATTTATTTTTCTAACAAGAAAGGCAAAAAAACGTCAAACTAAAATGACCTTACGTTATGCAAAAACAAACAAACAGATCTCTTTCTTACCTCTACTAACAAAATGAATTTAACAATGATTTAAAATTGACAGTAGAAGTAACAATCCACATTCTTCTTAAAGAATCTGAAATAGAAACATAAATAAATAGAACGTTTGTTTATAAGTATAAGTTCAATTTCTATTTGCTAAAAACATATTTGTTAATAGATAGCCAGAAAACAAGTATCATTTACGTCTTTCTACGTATGACATTTTCAAACTAAATATATAACATATATTTATTCTGTCCACGGCAAATGTTGGTTAAAAAATGACGGATTTGATACAAATTTTCAGATGAATTAGAGCAAAATATTTTGTACTCTAAAAATTTAAAAACAAATGTATCTTTACTGTTAGTAGCGAAACAAAACAGATTTTTAAAATAAATTTAAATTTAAATGACAAAAATGGCAAATAAAGTGTAAGAAAAACTATGAAAAAATCTTATTCGACAGCTTATTGGTATCAAATAAGTGGGTATTTTAGGTTTTTGTTTTTAGTTTTAAATATGAGTCAATTACAAAACGATACACACTAATGCACATCAGACAAATAAAATATGTAACATAAATAGTTTTCAATAAATTTTTAATCATTATGACGTCAAATCTTACTTATTTAGCAAAGGAAAGTTTACGAAAAGTGTAAATTACTAATTTTCATCTTCGTATTAATCATTTTGATTTACTAAAATCGTCGTATTTTACACCTTTGAGACACTATGAATAATGAGTATTAAGAACTTATTTTTTTTAAGACAGAGATAAGAATGAGGCAGCATGAGGTAGCACAAAAAAGAGAAAGAGAAAAAATGTTGTTGGCATCACCGGCAAAAATTTGTACGACACCCTGGTGTAAAATGACCATGGTTAAAACTCCTACGTACTATTCAATTTGAGAAAAAGAAAATATTTCATTATGTCTTTCATACTGTTTATTTTTCTAGATTAATGATAGCATGGTTCAAGTGGAAAAATTCAAATATAGTCTTATAGAATTAGGATGATTGCAATAGGGCATAAACGAAAACATTTTCGGGTAATATGAAATGATATTCGCTCTAAAGCTAAGAGTTGAGATTTACCTGTAAAGAGAAACAGATTAGTTAATAATTACAACTTGAAATCCTCAAGGGAAGTCATTCTCTACTGATGCAGCAAAAAAATATTTCTTCTTCAACTGTTACATTATTAATCACAAGATGACACGCTCAATGATGTTGCTTACCGTTATTCAACGTTAGCAGACATATATTTATATAAGTTGATTACATTAAAAACGTATCGTTTAAAAGAAAACAAACCTATTCTCTTCACTCCATCAACAGTAGCAATAGTAGCAACAACAGTAGAAGAAGAAGAAGAAGAAGCAATTTCAAAAATATTTTTACAATTTAATTTCCTATTTTCTTTTCTTTCGATTCATACATGAATTTCTACTCTCTCATGTCATCTATACATCTTTAAATATTAAATATTGAATATTAGTAAAAGAGAAGAATAAAGGAAAGAAATCGAGTAATGGAAGTAGTTAGTAATAAAGAAAAACAAATTAAACCTACAAATTTGTTTCGTCGTTTCGTTTTTATATGACATAGTAAATATGTTCTATAATCTAACATATTATACTGAACAGGTAAGAAAAAGGAACCAACGACAAATACTTTTACTAATAATTATGTTAGAGCAGTTTTTTATTAGGGAAGAGCAAACCAGAAAAACAACATCTGGGTAATTAGTCCTCAAGAAAAAATGAAAATGAAAAATGAGCAAAATCTGGCTGTTGCTGATGACATCGTTCTCATTTCCGTTGATAGACTTCTGCTGGAAGTAGAATAAAACGTGTGTTGATGATTTAACAGAGAGAAAGAGACAGAGAGAATACAAAATGACAAGACTTTTTCTTTATTTCTTTCTTCATTATCCTTTTGTCATTGTGTCTGACATAATTCTCATTTTTTTCTTCTTCTTCTCGTTTCTTTATTTCTTTTTGTTTGTACTTCTCTTATCTTTTTATTCAAGCGAAAAAATAATTCTTCAAATTTTGTCCTTTGAAGACATGTATATATGTGGAGAGAAATTTCTTCGTTTTATGTTTTTTTTTTTTTTTTTTTTGTGAAAAATTATGAGTTTATACATGATACCGATGTCAATTTTAATAATTTTGCCGAGAGAACAACAAAT